CTAAAGCAGTGCTTTGTTGGGAAATTTATAGCAAAAAAAGAGAAAAATTAAAAATCAGTTAAGCTTACATTTTAAGAAGCTGTAGGTTTAACAGCAAAGTAAACCAAAAGAAAGAAGAAAACGTGACACTGATACAAAAAGATGACACTGATACAAAAAATGATAAAAAGTCTGAAGAGTCATATATCTTCTAACGAAATTCAACCTGTAGTTAAAAACCTTCCTACAAATAAAATTGTAGCTCCAAATGACTTTACTGGTAAATTCTTCCCAATATTTAATATTGTTATGAAAGATTATATCCAGTGCCTTAGTTTTCTGTAGCTGCTTGCTGTAAACTGAATATTCATATCCCCTCACTTACACCCCAATTCATATGTTGAAACCTAATCTTCAATGTGATGGTATTTGGAGCTGGAGCCTTTGGAAGTTGATTAGGTCATATGAGTGAACTCTTTGTGAATGGGATGAGTGCCTTATAAAAGAGACCTCAAAGACCCCCTTCCACCATGTGAGGACATGGCCATCAGTGAAACAGGAAGTGGGCCATGATCAGACACCACATCTGCCAGTGTCGTGATCTTGCACTTTCCAGCCTCCAGAACTGTGAGAAATAAATTTCTCTTATTTATAAAATACCTAGTCTATGGTATTCTGTTATAGCAATCCAAATGGACAAAGACATTACTGTACCAAATTACCATATGCTTAGTGACTTAAGTAACACAAATTTATTCTTGTAATTCTGGAGGTCGATGTTTGAAATTGATCTCATTGGGCCCAAAGCAAAGTGTCAGCAGGGCTGTGTTTCTTCTGGGATAATCCATTTTCTTTGCATTTTCCAGTTTCCAGAGGCCTTTCTAGAGCTTGCCTGCCTGCATTCCTGGCCCATGACCCCATTACTCCATCTTCATTGCCAGCAATGTCAGTCTGAATCCTGATGCTGCCATCTCTCTGGCTTTTTTATGTCTGACTCTCTCTTTTACTTAGGCATAGGACTCAGCCGTGTGTGACTCTTATAATGACAAGAACCCTTGTCATTACATTGAGTGCAACTAGATAATCCAGGATAATCTCCCCATCTCAAGGTTAACTGATCAGCAACCTTAAGTCCATTTGCAATTTAAATATCCCTTTGCCATGCAATCTAACATATAGGTTCTGTGGTTTAGGATATGGACGTCTTTGGGGGTGATTATTCTGCTTACCACAGCCAATCTTACACATCTCTTTCACTGAAAAGGGAAAGAGGAAACACCAAATTTTTATAAGGCCAGCATAACCCTAATATCGAAACCTGACAAGGATATTACAAGAAAATTAGAAGCCTACATCTCTTGTGAATATAGATACAAAAATCCTAAACAAAAAGTTACACATATAATTGAGTAATATATTAAAATGTTAATACCATAATGTCCATGTTAGGAAGTATTATTACAGGAATATAAAGTCTGTTTAACCTTTGAAAATTCACTGCATTAATAGAATAAAAGAGAATAATCATATGGTCATCTTAATTGGTACAGAGAAAGCTTTTCATGTATGTTCATTTGATAAATTTGATAATTACAGTAAAAAATTTTAAGCAAATTGGGGATAGAGGGAACATTTTTAATCTGATAAAGTATCTATCAAAAATGTTTTTCAAACATAATACATAATGAAATACTGAGCATTTTTCTCCTGACTTTGGAAACAAGATAAAGATGTTCACTGTAAACACTTGTCTCCAACATTATCCTGTAATTTCTAGACAATGCATGAAGACAAGATAAAGAAACAGAATAAATACTGGAAAGGAAGATATAAACCCTTTTCTTTATTTGCAGATTGCTGTTTTGTATATATAGAAAATCTAGAAGGCTCTAAAAATATAGAATTAAGTAAATTTTGCAATATTTTAATTGTACAGAAAAATTAATTGTATTACTCTATACTATCAGAAAGTGGTTGAAAATGAAATTTAGAACACCATTTACCTCAGCATCAAAAGCCATCAATTACCTAGAGATACATTTAATAAAAAATATGCAGTGCTGCTACACTCCATGATTTTAGGGAAAAATTTCCGTAACAAGACATAAAAATACTTACCATATGGGATTAGATGAATAAATCTGACTACGTGAAAATTAATAACCTCTTTATTAAAAAGTCATATAAAGGCCGGGTGTGGTGGCTCACACCTGTAATCCCAGCACTTTGGAAGGCCGAGGCTGGTGGATCATTTGAGGTCAGGAGTTCAAGACCAGCCTGGTCAACATGGTGAGACCCCCATCTCTACTAAAAATGCAAAAAAATTAGCCGGGCATGGTGGCGGGCGCCTGTAGTCCCAGCTACTCAGTAGGTTGAGGCAGGAGAATGGCATGAATCCGGGAGGCAGAGCTTGCAGTGAGCCGAGATCTCGCCATTGCACTCTAGCCTGGGCAACTGAGCGAGACTCCGTCTCAAAAAAAAAAAAAAAAATTAGCCAGCCAGGTGTAGTGGCGGGCACCTGTAATCCCACCTATTTGGTAGGGTGAGGCAAGAGAACTGCTTGAACCCAGGAGACAGAGGCTGCAGTGAGCTGAGAGTGTACCACAGCACTCTGGCCTGGGCGATAGAGTGAGACTCCATCAAAAAAAAAAAAAGTCATAAAAAGATTTGAAAATAGTAATAACATCTGAGAAGGAACTAGAATTCAGCTGTATAAAGAACTTTGTCAGTGGAAGAATTATGGACAACTATTCATTTTCTGTTGCTGCATATCAGATTACAACAAATATAGCAGTTTTTGTGCAAGAGTCCACACACAACTGAGTCCTCTGCTTAAGGCGTCGTAAGTCTCGAAACTAGATGTTGGCTCTTCCTTGTTCTCATCTGAAGAATCAGCTGAGAATGAATCGACTGCCAGGCTCATTCAGGTTGTCCTCAGAATTCATTTCCGTTGGTTGTGGATTCTTGATGGCTCTGGGTTCTTGATAGCTGTTGGCTGGAGGCCACCCACAGTTTGTAGAGGCTGCCCATAGTTTTTTGTCACATGGTCTTCCTCACTATGGCTGCTCACTTCATGGAGTTAGCAAGGAGAATCTCTAGAGTGAGTCTCTAGCAAGATGGAATCCATAATGAAACATAATCATAGGGGTGACATCCTGTCATCTTTCTTTTGATAAGAAGCTAGTCACAGATGTTTTCTACACAAAGACATGAACACCAGGGAGCAAGGGTTAATGGGACTACCTTAGAGTGTGTCCATCACCACAAGCCAATGGAAAAATTGGCAAAAGACTTGAACGAGCATTTCAGCAGAAAACTATACAAATGGCATATAAACATGAAATGTGCTTAACCTTATTAGTAATGAGGAAATTAAAAAGTGAGGGTACAGTGCTCTTTTATTTACCATCAGATTGGCAAAAAATAAAGAACATTATATTTATACACGCACACACATGCAGAGAAAGAGAGAGAGAAAGTTTGTTTTAAGGGATTAGCTCACACAACTGTGAGGGCTTGCAAGGCAGGCAAGTAGGAAATTTTCAGGACAGTCTGGCAGGCTGGAAATTCCAGCAGGGGTTAATGTTGCAGTCTTGAACCTGAGACAAAATTTTTTCCTCTTTGTGAGACCTCAATCTTTTCTTGTAAGGCTCTAAGCTAATTGGATGAGGTCCACCCATGTTATAGAAGTTAATCTGCTTTACTCAAAATTTATCGATTTAAATGTTAATCACATCTGAAAAATATCTTCATGACAACATCTATACTAGTGTTTAAATAAACAACTGAGCACCATAACCAAGTTGACACCAGCGCACACATCTATAAGTTTACTAGTATGCCTGAAAATATTGTAGCTCCTTAATGACTGTTACTTGTTTTCCTTTCTGAATGAGACTTTACTTGGGTCTTTATTTTCAAATAAGGTTATAAATCTGCCTGCCTCTTTCCAGATATATCCATACTGCTTTAGTTTGAGGTACTCAGCAAAGGTTTCTGGAATAAATAGACAGAATTATAGACTCATCTTATGTGTTGCTGAAGCACTCTGTTTTATTCCCTTGTTAAGCACTTAGCACTTGTTTGTATTCTTCACTATGTGCTAGCTTCATTGAGTTTCAGGGATGGCATCTTTTTCTCCATTGTGAAACCCAGTGTATTTTCCAGCATATAGTAAGCTCTAAATATTTGTTGAATGAATGAATCAGCTGGAAATATTTTCATGTAATTTTTAAAGCGATCTGACATTACGTTAGCATATGATGTTATTCTCAACTTGCTTAATGCTATTAAGAATTTTAGTTCTTTGGCCAGATGCAGTGGCTTAAGCCTGTAATCCCAGCATTTTGGGAGTCTGAGGCAGGGGGATCACTTGAGCCCAGGAGTTTGAGACCAGCCTGAGCAACATCGTGAAACCCTGTCTCTACAAAAAAATACAAAAATTAGCTGGGTACAGTGGCTTGTGCCTGTAGTCTCCAAGACCAGAGGATCAATTGAACCCAGGAGGTTGAGTCTGCAGTGAGCCATGATTGTGCCACTGCACTCCAGCCTGGGCAATGGAATGAGACCCCATCTCACACACAAAAAAGAGAATTTAAATAAAATTTAATTTTATTGAATTGAAAATAATACAATAAACTTTGGTAGAGATGCTTTGCTCATGTGGATTATCAGTCTGATAGGGACACATAGGTGAAAGTTAAAGACCAATAGGAATTAGGAAAATTTCTGCCATACAGTATGTATGTTTTAGTCATACCGTTCACATTTACCTATTATAAATGTAGATATTTACCCAACAAGGGGTGTTTACCCAGCAGCCATTGATCATGACAAATATGGCAAATATTGCTTAAGTTTCTAGAATATCTTGAGGCCCCATGTAGGAATTTATCATTTAATTGTAAATAATTTGCTTTTTTAAATAAGGAAAAAATCCATAAAGACACAAATATATTTAATAAACATATACACATAAATACATTCTTATTTATCTGTCTCCTTTCTTTTAATTTTTTAAGGTGTTTTATCCAGTCTGAGTCCTGTGAATTCTCCCAACTATGGACCAATGGCTGCTGGCTCTCTAACTAATCGATCACCCATAGAATTTCCTGATACTGCTGATTTTCTTAATAAGCCAAGCATTATTTTACAGAGATCTCTGGGCAATGCACCTAATACACCAGATTTTTATCAGCATCTTAGAAATTCTGATAGCAATCTGTGTAACAAGTAAGTTTCCCAACTGTTTATTATTTCTTTTTCAAAATGTTGATTACAGTTAAGTCCTCAACATTTTGGATAGGTTCTTGGAAACTCCAGCTTTAAGCATTTATAAATGACCATATTTTTTTCGGTGTTATAATGAAATGCCATTATTTGAAGATGTGCTATAAGTTGTTTCACTTAAAATGTCAGTTCTTAAAATGTCAGTTTTCAAAAACTTATCGATGATATTGAGGACTTTACTGTATTTTAATAAAGTATTACCGGTTTTCTAGTTCTTTGTTATAACTAGATGATGGATTCAGCCTATATTCTTTTCCTTATTTATCTAGTAGTTTTTATTCTAAATAAATGTCTTCTTATTTTAGTGGTTATTAATTTTTTAAATTAAATGGTCTCCATCTGAGGTAAAATGTAATGGTATTCTACCCATCCTAAGATCTTAATAAATATTAAATTATTTTAGTATACACTGCTTTAGTACCTATTGATAGTACCCAGTTCATATGGTGTTTGATCTTATTTCTGCTTTACTAATAGTAGAAGTTTACCTCAGATCCAGTGTTGACTTTTCAAAAATATTTTGTTTCCTTCAAGGACACATAGATACTTTCTAGGTTAAAGCCTTTTAACTTTATAGAGATTGGAATATTAGGATGTGTTGCAGTTGGGATCTTGGTTAAAAATTAAACAGATTTTCTAATTGTGTTCAGGTAAAAAACTTTTACCTCATTTACCATATATATTTATCTATTTTATTCTATAAGCTGTGGACATCAAATACTGAAATATGTTTCAACATCTGAATCAGACAGTACAGATTGCTGCAGTGGAAAATCAGGTGAGATTACAAAAGTCATATGTATTTGAGTTTAAGATAAATTTCTTACAGTGGTTTTTAGAATGGGAAAATGAATGAGTTTAACTTCAGTTTATCCATCTTTAAAATGAAGATTATTCTTTTTTACCCACTTCACACAGGATTTATTTAGAACAAATTATAAATAATAGATGATGAAAGTAATTCAAAGAATAAAAATGTCCTGTACAAATGAATGTAGTCTTCTTATGTTATATCTGTTGTTTATAAATAGTGAAATTATTTGTATTAACATTGAAATTTGTACTGCACAATCTAAACCCAAAAGGTATAAATTTTTTATGGCATAAAGAGGAGTTGTTTTAAAGTGTGGTTAATTATATCATTCTGAAATATTTTATATCCTCAAACAAGAAATGTTGTTGTTGATGAAATTATAGTTGTTTTATAACCTTAAAAATTGATGACTCAAACTACCAGTAGTAGTTAACTAAGTAATTCAGACCAACATTTCCCCTGAGGGCAACTAGAAAATGTGGACGAATTATTTTTTTTTTTAAATCTACTTGAAGCCATTGAAGAACTAAAAAGATCCTGTGAATCACCCATACAAGATCTGTTGGAAGATAGAACTCCAAGAAAGTGAGCCTGGAGTTTGGGGCTATCAAAAGAGTATATTCCAGTTCCACAGAGACCAGTGACTAATAGGATGAGCAATTTTATTAGTAGCTTCATGGGACTAGGAAGACAGAGACTAGAGTTGAAGGCTTGCCATGGTATGGATAACTTGATAAACTCTAAAGTGTTGTACCCTAAGAAAAAAGTTAAACCAAAAATAGATAAGCGTTTTCAGGGATTGTGGGCTCTTCTCAATCTGTTTACATACCATAAAATTTACCTTTTTAAAGTGTGCAATTTAATAGTTTTTTGTTTTTTGCATTTTAAAGGATTGTTAAAAAATAAAATAAAATAAAAAGACTAATTCTTCACAAACTCTTCCAAAAAATAGAAGAGGAGGGAACACTTCCCAACTCATTCTTTTTTTTTTTTTTTTTTTTTTGGTATATCATTACAATGGAATTCAGTTCAGCAATTAAAGGAATAAACTTCTGATACATGCTGCAACATAGATGAACTTCAAAACATTATTCTAAGTGAAAGAAGCCAGGCTCAAAAGATCATACATTGTATGATTACATTTATATGAAATTCTTAAAAGACAAATTTATAGAGACAATAATCAGAACAGTTGTGGCGTAAAGTGAGAATAGGGATTAACTATAAATAGGCATGAAGGAACATTTTGGGGGGCGTGTTGAGGATGTTCTAAAATTGGATTGTAATGATTGCTGATAACTGCAAATATACTAAAATTGTTGAATTGTACACTTATGGGCTGAATGTTTGTGTTCCTCCAAAAATTTATGTGTTGAAATCCTATACCCCAATATGCTGGTATTGGGAGGTGAGGTCTTTGGGAGGTAATTAGGTCATGAAGGTGGATCCCTCATGAATGGGATTAGTTCCCTTGTAAAAGGGATCCCTTGTAAATGAACCCCAGAAAACTCTCTAGCCTTCTTTCCCACCGTGAGGATACAATGTGAAACCAGTAGTCTGCAACCTGGAAGAGGGCCCTCACTGGAACTTGGCCAGGCTGGCACCCTGATCTCAGACGTCCAGCTTCCCTAACTGTGAGAAATAAATTCCTATTTTTTTATAAGCCACTCAGTCTATAATATCCAGTTATAGCAGCCTGAACTAAGGCATTTTACAATAGGTAGATTTTAATGGTATGTAATTTATACTCAATAAAGTTTTTAAAAAGAACAATAATTTATTAAGTGTCATATTTCTTTGGGTGGACTAGCCTCAACTGGGAGATTGTCACCTGAGGACTTTCATGAGATTGCAGTCAGATATTGGTTGGGGAAGCAGTTATCTGAAGGATTGGTTGGGCAGAATTTCCAAGATGGATTACTCATGTGCCTGTTGGCTATTGACCAGTCCATCTAAATATGACCCTTCCATGGGCTTCTCCCAGTTTGTTGGTGGCATTCCAAGAGAGTAGGAAGTGGAAACTGCCAGTCCAGTTAATGACTCAACTCAGAACAGAGTGTCACTTCTGCCATATTCTGTTAATCAGAGCAGTCATGAGGCCTGTTGAGATTCCAGAGGGTTGGTAAACAAATGCTCTGTCTTGATAGAGGAATGATAAGAATACATTTCAGAAAAGTGTTTGGGACAAGAGATAGTGTTGCAGACATCTTTAGAAAAGAAATGCTACATTTATCTCACCTGTTTTTATTGTTATTTGTAAGATAATAGTCATTAGGAATTCATATCATTAAAAAGCAAATTATGTAATATACCTCGATTGCCAGCAATTTTTAGATTAACTGCTATTTTAGAATATCATTGTAGTTACTGCCTTAACTTACCATAAATACTTGAATAGTCTAAATTTAATTTTTTAAATTAAATGTTTTTCATTTGGAAAAAATAATATTTTCTAAACAGTAAAACTTCCAGATCATCATCTAATCAATTAATGATTGGTATATTCATTGTATTAGGTTGAGATTACACTAACATTTATTAGTCACCTGTTATGTATAACATCTTGTAAGGTAGGTATTATCCAAATTTTACAGGGGAGAAAGCTTGCCATTATTAAGTACAAAAATCATTCGGGTTTGAACCTAGTTTTCTGAAACTCAACTCCAATGAGTACTCTTAAGAATTCTTTTATTTGTTTTTTTTTTTTGAGACAGGGTCTTACTCTGTCACCCAGGCTAGAGAGTATGGTGGCACAATCATGGTTCACTGCAGCTTCCAACTCCTGAGCTCAAGCAGTCCTCCCTCCTCAGTCTTCTGAGTAGTTGGGACTACAGGCATAGGCCACCATGCCTGGCTAATTAAAAAAATTTTTTTTTGTAGAGATGAGAACTCGCTGTGTTGCCCAGACTAGTCCCAAACTTTTGGCTTCAAGTGATCGTCCTGCCTTGGCTTCCCAAAGCACTAGGATTATAGGTAGGAGCTGTTGTGCCTGGCCGAGATCTCTTTTTACAAACAAACAAACAAACAAAACTCTACATATTGAGTTTATAGCTTGTAATTATCATATAATCAGTACCCAGATCCAGAAACAAAATAAGAGGCTGGCCAAAATGGCCAACTAGAAGCAGCTAGTGTGCACTGCTCTCATGGAGAGAAATAGAAGGGGTGAGTACGTACAGCACCTTCAACTGAAACATCCATGTACACACATTGGGATTCATCAAGAAAACAACCCACAGAGAATGTAGAAAAGCAAGGCAGGATGACTGCCCGCCTGGGAGTGACATGGAGCCAGGGGAGCCTCCCTCGCCTAGGGAAGAATGACTGAGTGAGCAACCCTGGGGACCCATGCTTCTCCCGTAGATCTCTGCAACCCTTGGGTCAGGAAACCCCCGCTCATAAACCCACTGCACCAGGGTCTTCAGTCGGATATGCAGAGCTCTGTGGCATCTTGGCAGAGTAGCTGCTCAGCCACATGCGGAGCCCCAGGAGCTATAGATACTTGGGCTTCTAGGCAAAAGCAACTGCAACTCGGCAAAACAGGGGTTTAGACCCCCATACGGACCCCTAAGAAGCAGCTGAATTCAGGGGGCTGAGCAGCAATGGCCTGCAGGTCCCATGTCCACAGCATCTTACAAGATAAGACCACTGACTTGGAACTCCAGCCAGCCACTGGTAGCAGTGTTGATGTGTTGATGGAACTCCCAGAGGGAGGGGTAGGCTACCATCTTTGCTGTTTTGTAGCCTTAGCCATTGTTGCCTTCAGTGTAACCACCCTACAAAAAAGCAGCCAGCTTGCTTTTTTATGTGGGTCCCTGACGCCTCTTCTTCTCACTGGGCAGGACCTCCCAACCAAGGTAACCAGCCACTCTTGCCACTGTTATTCAGCTGGCAGTGGTTCTGAGCCTCCGGGGGATGGTGCTGCCAGGGGAAGGGACAGGCTGTTTCACAGCCTTTGCCATTGTTGCCTTCTGGCTCTAGGAAGTCCAAGGTGACTAGGGTCTGGAGCTGTCTTTCCCCACAGCTCTATGGGAAAGCAGCTAGACTGCTTTTTCACATGGGTCCCAGATCTCGTTCCTTTTCACTGGGCAGAATCTTGTGACCAAGGTCTACAACCACCCCTGCCAGTGTTTTCTGGCCAGCAATAGTATCAAACTTTGCTGGGACGGAGTTCCCAGAGGGAGGGGCAAGCTGCCATCTTTGCTGTTTTTCAGCCTTAACCATTGTTGCCTTTGGGATTTGGAGAGTCCAAAGTGACTGGGGGCTGCAGCAGACCCCCAACACAGCCCAACTGCTCTACAAAAAAGTGGCCAGACTGCTTTTTCACACAGGTCCTCAATCCTGTTCCTCCTCACTGTGTGGGACCTCCCAACTGGGGTGTCCAGCCATCTCTGCCGGTGTTTTCTGGCCAGCAGCAGTTTCAAACCTCCCCGGGATGGAGCTCCCAGAGGGAGAGGGGGACTGCCATCTTTGCTGTTTTACATCCTTCACTGTTGATACCTTCAGGTGCTAGATAAACCAAGGTGACTAGGGACTGGAGTGTACCCCCAGCATACTGCAGCAGCCCTACAGAAAAGTGACTAGACTGTTTGTTACATGGGTTTCCAATCTCATATATCTTCACTAGGCAGGTCCTCCTGGCCTGGTTCTTCAGCTACCGTCACCTCCAGGCTATCAAGCCAGTAGCAGCTCTGTAACTCCCTGAGACAGAGCTCCCAGTGGGTTGGGCAGGTTGCCATCTTTGCTGTCTCACAGCCCTAGGCTTTGCTGTCTTCAGGCTTTAGAGAGTCTTTGGGGACCAGAGGCTAGCCGGTCCAGAGCCCAGCACAGAGTACCTACCTCACAGAAAAGTGGCTGGACTGTTCTCCATACAGGTCCCGGTCCTCACTTCTCCTCTCAATATGGGACTCTAGCACAAACATGCTGTCCCTGTCTGACCACATCAATCAGAGGCAGCCCAGCTG